GAGGAGGAGGAAGGCGCGGGGCAACCGCCATCCGTGYGCGGCGGCGGCGGCGCCCGGGAGGATGCCGGGCAAGACGGGCTCGGCGGGCGGCGAGCTGGCGGCGGCCGGCGCGCAGCGGCAGAGGAAGAGGAGGAGGAAGGTGTCCTGCTTCTCCAGCATCCAGCTCTTCCTGGTGTCCGAGTGCGCCCTCATGCTGGCCCAGGGCACCGTGGGCGCCTACCTGGTGAGTGCCCGGGCCGCGGGAAGTTTCCCCCCGCGCTCGCGGGGCTCCTGGCTGCGGGTGTCGCCGTGTCCCGGCCCCAAATGACTCAGCAGCGGCYGGGGGTTGCCCCGCCGGGTGCCCCGCTCGCCCGGGTGGCGCCGAGCGAAGGGCAGCGAAGCGCCAGGGGACCTTGGCCGCGGGCTGCCCCCATCGCCCCCCACCTTGTCCCCCTGCAGCGGCCCCCCCCGAGCCACCCGCGAGTGGGGCTGGGCGAGGAGCAGGCGCCGCGGGACGTCGCGCCGAGCCCCGCGGAGCCGCGAGGACGAGGGGGAGGCTGCGCTCGTGGCCCCGAGCCTCGGCAGCCCGCGAAAAGTGCCCCGCTTCCCGCACGTGCGAGCGCGGACTGGATCGGAATTCCTCAAAATAGCCTGCTGGATCTTCAGAATTACAGTTTCCATGGAAAAGAACCGCGTTCGTAATCTCTGAGGTTTTTTGAGGCCGTGTATGTGGTGGAGTGTATGCAGGATCCAAGTGCAAGTTCTCCCCGTTCTGCACTTGTATTCCATATTTAGCTCTGCTTCTCTCTCTTGCGCACACGTAAACGGTCTATGTAAATTTGTATTGAATGCGATTTGTAATTTTGCAAGGCATGTAGCTAAAATAGGGCTAATATTCTCCGTGAATATGAAATGCAAATTTGCAGTCATTTTCCCTGTAATGAAACATGCAAGTTTGACTTGGAGTGTGCTTMTAATTACAAACTGAGCTGCATCACGTCTGCAGGGGGGAATTCAGTAGTTTTCCTGCCTGGTGTGGGCATCAGTGGCTGTCACTTAGTTCTTAGGCCTGCYGGGGCCATGGTTTTCTCCCATGGGTAACCCCATAGTAAGCAGATATGCTCTTTCCGATGAGCTGCTTCAAACTGAGCTGTCAGCATGAATGAGCGTGGGATAATCCAGCGTTAAAATAATAGCCAAGGAGTAGCCCACTGAGCTGATGTCACCTAGTGGGCACCAGAGCGCTAGGAAGGGAGCGAGCGGCGAGGGGACCGGGGCTGGCACGWCTTGCTCCAGGATCTCCATGTCGGCCACGCAGGATCATGAAGCCCATAGCAGGGCATCTTCGTCAAACTCCCTTGCTGTCTTGTTACAAAGTCAGATTTTCCTCCCCCTATTTTTTTTCCAGTGCTTTGCATTGAAGTGAGGTGCTCGCTAACTCTTGCTCCTTGGAGTATTTCGTGTATCAGAGCACAGTGTCTGCAAAGCGTCGCTGCCGTCACCTCCAGGAGGCTCGAGCCCCTTCCCCTCATGGGTTAAGCTGTCCGAGCTGCTCCTGTCCCTTCCCTCCCGATTCTCTAGGGCTCATGATGTGAGCGCTGTATGGTGACCAACATGAYGTCACGCCCTCATGGGCCGCCAGCTCCACAGGCAGGAACAGCTAATGGTCAATGGGGACAGAAAGAAAACATAGGAAAAAACCCTCAAAACAATCCCCAGCATGCATGAGAAGYGGCCCAGCTGCATCGTGCAAGTGTTTCTCAGTTCTGTGTGTAATTCATCTTCCCTTGCTGCAAATGCTACATAGATCTAAATTCCATGTTTACATCTATGCACTATATTAATCTTTGGAGGTTACATTTATGCRTAAGGAGGTTCTGCATTAGCGCTATGCTTACAGGTGTCTTGGGGAGAGCGAAAGCAGGAGCGGGGAAGACGCTCGATGAAAGTTTTGACCTAATCCTTTTTGCAGACTAAATGTCCTGTGGGACCAGGTGCTATTTCTGGCTGCCCTCTTGGGAAGCAGAGCCCYGAAATCAGTGGAGACGATGCAGAGTTGCCCAGGTGTGACTGCACCTGGAGTTTAATCGACTCAAGTGCCTCCTGTGAATAAGGGCTACCGGCCTCTGYGGTGGGTTGCTGCGCTGGTCCCCGAGGGACAAATTAGCAGGCGAGAGAAAGCAGTGAACAAACTGCACAAAAGACAAATAGGGAGATGCTGTGGAGGGCAACTCCAGTGCATGGGTCTGGGCAGTTGAATAAACTACTAATTTTAGCCTGTCGGCAGTGATGGAGTGCTGTATTTCTGCTTCTGCTCTGCCTGGCTGCGTGTGTGACTTTCCCTCGGTGCTTGTAACTCAGGAAAAGGAACCTTTTCATTTCTCCTTTTAGGGCAGCAAGTTGATTTTTCTCGGTTTTGTCCACATTGCTCTGCACAGAGACCAGGAGGGGAAAAACTGAGCTGCTTAAAGACAACCGGGCAGTGCCCTGGCTTGTTAGGAGTAATGGAGGAGCTTGGCTTTGGTTAGGCTTGGCTTTCTCATGAGCAGATTTGGAAGTAGGTATTGTAATTTCGTCTTAGGGTTAAAAAAACTTTTTCATGTTCTCAGCACAATAGACAAAGAAAGAATGCTCAAATATATGTACGAAGTCTCCGTTCATCTACTGTGTGGTTTTGAAGCAAAGATCATTCACTCTTATGCATGTTTATATGGATAATGCACCGCGCTTGCCAAGAGTGCGTCATAAATAACAAAYGCTGATAAAAATCTATGCAGTCTAATCCTTCTCCCACAGAACTCGGTGATAAAAACACCCTCAGATGCCAATAGTGGATGCGTATGTTGAATCGATAGGGTGTCTCTCCGAGGCCCTTCATGTGAAATTTTAGGGAATGTTTGATCAATGTCACATTCCAGCGCGGTTGCCGCTTGCTGCGCTCGCTGCCGGCGCGAGTGCATCTGCTCCGAACAGCCTCGGTGCCGCGYGCTCGTGCCGAGACCGTCCTGCACGGCTTATGCAAATGCCAGCCGCTGCACTGCCTTGATTTCTGGAGCGGCTGAGCCTGCCCTCCTCTCTGCGTGTTCCCGCTACATTTAGCGTGCACGTTTATTTATTTGGCTTCACTTGCTTCCTCCCGTGGAGCTTTTGGAAACTTCAATTTCCCAGCACCTGCAGTGGTGCTGGGCAGGCGCTGCTGGGGTCTGCAGACATCCCTGCTGCAGAAGTTACTCCAGGTCTCAGCAGCAACTTCTAAAAGCCCTGGCAATTTCCCCCCTCCGATTGCTCTCTCAAAGCATGGGTTAAAGAGCCAGCATTTCCTGGTGCTGATGGCACAAGGAGCTGAAGAYGGGACCTGTGTTTTCCGGGCAGAGCCTCACATCTTTTGGGCAAATGCAGCAGTGTGAGCAGCGAGGCTGGCGGCTGTGCAGCCGCCGTGATGGAGATGAGGCTGATTCACACACCTTGGCAGCGCCTCCCTCCCTGTCCCCCTCGCCTCCCCATCCTTACACGCAGCAGAGTTTGGAATATTTTAACCGGCAATAACCCTCCAAGTGCTGCTGAGGGATTTCATCACCCTGCCAGTCAAATCTTTTTGCCTAGCCAGCGGTGAAATCATTGCTTTAGCAGAAGGCAAAAGAGCTCCTGGGTCGGCAGCCACAGTCTGCAGAGCAGGAGCGCGATTTAATTTTCTCTCCCGAGCCTTTAGCCTCCGATAGCGCCGGTTCAAGCTGACCTACTTGCGAGCACCCAACATCTGCCAAAGTCGGCGGCTTCTTTAGATGAAGGGCGGGCGCCTGGAGAGGTGGCTCCCGGGAGCTGGTTCTGCAGGGCTACGCCGAGGTGTCTCTGCGCTGCAGCTTTCCCTGCAGCTCTTCACCTGCTTTCCCAAGCCGTAGGGCAAGGGGGCATTGGTGTTGGCGTGGGAATGAATGCAAAGCTCTTCCTTGGTTTGCTGCGTGCAAAGTTGGGAGAGTCATGCCGAGCTGCCGGCTCGGCTTGTTCCTGTGCAGCAGCGTTTGGCTGCTCTGCAATAGCCCTCGTAATGTGCAGGCTGTAAAAACAGTGCAGCATGGGCACAGGTGCTTGTATGTGCTCATATGGTATCTGAGATGAGCTCATTCTGTTTGGTCTCTATTATTATAATTATGAACTGGGATATTAATAATATTTAACATACCAAAAAGCAGTAAATAACATAAAGACAAACGGGGGCCCTGAGAGACGGGCAGCAGGGAAGTGAGTAGTTAGGAGCAGAACTTGGATTTCTAAGTTGCTTTTGCATGCACCCSTCCTCCCTGCAGCCTGGTTAAAATGCAGCAAGTCTGACGGTGGTTTTTTTTTTGCTCTGCAAGAGATGTTGTAGAGACCTTGAAGCTGCTGCTGAAGGGGTTGGCATGAAGAATGTCGTTAAAGACAACTTTAATACAGGAACACTGCTCCAGCATTAGTGCTGCGCTTGGCGCCTACAGGCACCTGCAAGGAGAGATGCTTTGCCCTGGGGTACCTGCAGCCTGAAGAAGCTGGGTGGGAGAAGTTAAGTGCTGGCTAGTGCTGTACGTGGGGAAGATGAGGCACATAATCAGAGCTTGATTCCTTTGCTCATAAAGCTTTCACTTAGTTAATGGTACCAGGGCCCAGGTGGCTCAGCCATAGGTAGGGGAAGAGTCTGGCAGAGCAAGGAATCCCAGTTTCAGGGGCTTCAKTCCAATGACTTACCTGCAAGAACTTTTTTTTTTCCACTGAGTTTATTATTTTTATTCAACAATTTATTTTTCCTAGAATAAGAATCTGCTTTAAAATATTACTGTTCTTTTTTTCCTTCCCTCCGTAGCAGTGCTGAGTAATGAATTAGCCATAATGCTCATAATTTATTTGTCACTGGGGTATTTAAAGGGAAAAAAAATAAGGGATTGAATATAAATGTTTTAGTGGGGATGGAGATTGCCAAGCATTGGCTGGTTATTGCTTACAGTTCATTTTTCCTTAATATGTCTTTGCTGGCTATGTTATTTCTGGAAACTTATTTCTAGTATGACTTTCCCATTAGAGAATATTGTCTGTTTTGCAGCTGAGTTGCACAGAAAGTTATTCTAAACTAGCTCTTTTGACTATATTCACATGGCTTCTTTTTTCAGAAGCCTTTTAATGTTTTTAGGGTCTCTAACTGCAAGATGGAGGAGAAACTTGGCTCTAGCTCTGGATACTGATGCCTTTGGGCCCCTTAGGGGTTCAGGTGGCAGT